CACACCTGACAAGATGAACAATTCATGCAGTGGTTTACTAAAACATCCTTTTTTTAAAAAGATAACATGTTGCAAGTTCATTAAAAGCCTTTTGTTAAAAAAATCAGTCAGTCTGGAAAACAAAATCCTGCCAAAATAAAACTTCTTTTGGCTCTGTTGAAAGCCAGTGACCAGAATCAATAGGGTAATATTCCTCCGATCGATTTCCTGATGTAAGTCATCTGCTAGGGTCACTAAGGCCAAAAGCCAGACCTGAACATGAACTAGAATGGATTTAAATACAGCAGGACCATGGCATCCACAGGGGATTGGTTCCGAGACTCACCCCACTCCACGTGGATGCTGAAAAACACAGAAATAGTGAAAGTTATATATAGCATGATCTCTGGCTCCCTCTAGTGGCCAGCTCTGGTAAATATACTGTGAGGGGTTTTACTTATTATTTTCAGGCAGTGGAAAAGGGAATCCACAGATACTGATCCTGTGGATAGGGGGGTCCTCTGCATTCAGTATCATTCAACCCTACCTGGAGTTAAGAAACCAACATACATTCCAACACTTCATGCTAAAATGGAAAATGTGAAACTACACAGCAAGTATGAAGAACTACAGGAGCTAAAGTATTTTTCTTCAAGAAGGATCTCATTACATTCTCTTTTGAGTGAAGATCACCGCCCCCCCCCCATTTTAAGGAAGCATTAATTACCTCCAAATATCCAGGCCAGACTTGGCAGATTTTGTAAACCGGGAGAGTGAAGGGGCCAGAGAACAAGTTTGTCCACATTGTCAGATAGTACAAGATGAAAGGTGTCAATAACATTAGATGCTTTGGATGTAAAGCATGTGCTGTATTACTTAGTGAAAGTCTTTCTGTTAGATGCTTGGCATATGGACCATGTCCTCTACCACTTAATTAAATACCTTATCTTTCACATTTACAGCATGCACTCTGCCACTCATAGCAGAGTCCTCCCCTACTTGCATTTCAAAGGAATGAGAACTTGCTCTCAGTGGAATTTTTTTTAGAGAACCAGTGTGTTAGCTTGAATGAAGCAGTGCCCACAGATCTAAAAAGGCCAGAGTAAAGTTCCATTTTAGCTATAACCTCACTTGAGTAGTTTTCCCACTTTCACTCCCTCTATGAGTCTATAGACTGCTGCCTCAAAGGCTAGTTGTATTAATGCATGCATAAAGTAACTGTCCACACCCTCTGAGAAAGATGATTCATCCATCAGTGGTCACAAATCTTTTTCTGTGTGTCCATATTCTTCAAAATTGTCTCTGCCAAGCATGACATTTGTTTTGATGTTTTAATAGCACGCTTTTGATCAAGTGTGCATGTCTGTGTGTCTAGCAGGTCAGACAGGGATGAACAGGCAAATGTGAATATGGAGATACAAATGTACCATTGTGAATGAAAACGTTGAGAAATTTCATTTGTTTGTTCAGTATTCATGGTATTGGATTTTCTGTTATCAAAATAATATGTTCCTTATAGTGTACCCTAGAGCTCTCTGTATATACGTATGTGTGTGTGTGTGTGTGCGCGCATATTTGCAGTCAGATATGAGAGACTTGCCAAAAATATTTTGTCCTGTACATTCTGTGCTCATAATTATTCTTCTTGCCATGTATAATTATACTGTTGCATATGTTGCCAGGAAAAAAAGAACACTCACTTCCAGGTCTAGATAGTGCTTGTTGGCTCTTCTATATCATAGATCAGTGTGGAGGTGCAAGGAGAGATTATTAATGAATTTCACATATAAATAGCTTTTTAAAGGGGAGTAGTGCTAATGGTATAGCTATGAGATGTTTAAACTCTGACTTGTTTTTACCATTGGTCTGCTTCTGTACAGGGCACGATGTTGCTCACGCCTTCCGGAAGGCAGGGTAAAAAAGCGAAGTGTACCAATCAGCCTGCCCTGGTCTTGCTTCCTCCTTCCTGCATCTATGTTTCTCTTGCCAATGCAACTTTATTCTGAGGACAGCCCTCAGGTTTTAACCTATGAAGCCCTGAACGGCTTGGGTCAAAAACTATCTCCCTTTATGAGCCTGCCCAGGTGCTTTTCTCCTTAGTCCCACCATCTTCACAGGTGCACTTCGAGAAGGCCTTTTCTGTCACTGCCCCCAGATTCTAGAACTCCCTCCCCCAGGAGGCCAATCCTTCTGTAAACAGGCAAAGACCTGTCTCTACCGGCATGTTTTTCCTTAGTGACTGACAGTCTGGGAGACGATAAAAGGGTTTATATTTTCTTGCATTTAAATCTTTTTTGTAATGCTTTTTCTTAATATTTTATTTATTTATTTATTTATTTCATTTATACCCTGCCTATCTAGTCAATGTGACCACTCTTAGCACAATATTATTAGTTCTTTAATGTTTGAATAATTTAGTGTTTTTAGCTTTTATTATTGTACTTTTAATGATGTAGGCTGCCTTGGGTCCTTTTTTTAGGAGAAAGGCAGGATGATCAGACAGAAAGATAGGATTGCACCCCATTCCACTCCTTTTGATGCAAGTGGCTTAAAGGGGAGAGGAATATGCAGTTACCCAATGTGGACTGTGCTAAAATTCTAGATTTCTGAATTGTTTAGTACATAGTGCTGTCTTCTGGAAACCCTTTTCCAGCCAGTGTATTGGGTTTTCATCCCCTATTATATCTCTGTCAGTAGCAAGACTGCCTTAGATGCCAGTTACAAATTTATTTCACTTATCCGCCGAGAGCACTAAAAGGTGGTAGAAAGTTTGTTTTATTACAAAACTATTTGCTAGGATGGTGTACACAGATTTGGCTGAAATCTTGAATTCTACAAGGGTAGATACATTATTGCTTTAAAAATTGTTTAGAATCTAGGCCCTGAGACTTAATCTACCAAAGGGGCATGGAGGAATTAAAGGTGTGAATGCTTGTGCAAGACATTACTTCACCTGTCTTGCAGGTATACTGTGAGAATAAAATGGGATGCAGGGAAGACTTACTTAGTCCACCTCGAAGTCCATCAGGAAAGGTGGGGTGTAAAATAGATTAATCATTGTGATTAGGTTCATTTGAAACTTGGAGCAGTTCCTCTTTTTTGGTGGGAAATATTTATTTATTTATTTATTTGATTTATTTGATTTATACCCCGCCTATCTGGACCACAGTAATGACTGAGACTTTTCTAAAACTTTATTTTCATTAACTTTTGGTGATTTCACAATCACTTCTATTGGATCAAAGCAGCTTAATTTGGTAACTGTCTTTAATGTGATGATGTAAACTCAGTTTGTAGATGCAGACAGCTCACTGGGGAGGCTGGACCAAACCGCTCCCAATCCGTAGGGTTCCTCAATGGGGCACTCCTCACCAGTGTTTTTATAATTTTGATTGACTGTGCCCAGTATAACAACAACAACAGAGTAGCTCTTCTGGGATGCACAGTGGGCAATTTAATCCCAACCTCTGGCTCTGAATCCCAACTCAGTGAGCTATTCAGCCAGCTATGAGATAGATATAATTAGTGCATCATTATTAATAACTCTTCAGTCTTTTAACTTTGTTATTAAGTCTTAATGCTATTAATTTACGTTCAAAAAGTGAAATCTAAAATATGCTTTTTGAGGCTAGGACAGCAAAAGGCTCATAAGCCCTGTTCTCACTTTCATCAAGCCTATTCATTGTTTACTGGGAATGCTTGTATCCCACTTTCCAACCCCCAGAAGCTCTCATTGTGACTTTTTTTTTATTTGGCCATTGTAATTTAGTTCTGTTTGTTTTTGGTCTGCTTTCATGATCTGTTTTTTAGGTTTCTGGGGTTTACAGGGTGCATGGGTAATGAACAAGCATGGCACAATGTCATTTCCTGGAGATCATGGTATCTAATTAGCTGGTCTCAAAGACATTGGTTTGTTTCTGTTACTGTACAAAACAGGCTCTAATAGCAGCTAATGGATGTGTCCAGGTTGACCTCCATTCTAATCAATATTTGTTTTTTCAAGGAAGAGGGAAACAAGAGCCTTATAGCCTCTCTTTTTATTTCTGATGAATGAGGCCAAGTTGGCTCCCCCTTCCAATGAGGTTCTTTCTAGGAGGCGGGGTTTGCAATCTACCAATGAATTGTAGCCCCCTAGCCAATCTCTCCTAGCCATGAGATTGATTAGAGTCCCAGAACTCCTGCCAATTGAGGCTGAATCTGAGCTTGTAACTTTATTCTAAATACTAAATGGTACTTTAACAAAAAGCAACATACCATGTAAACATAACACAGTGTTTAACTGTTTTAAGGAATCCTTAAAGATAAGAAAATTACCAAAACTCTTAAAAGGTATAACCAAAAACCAATTTTATGGAAATATGGAGAAATGTATGCAATACAAGTAGCTTTCTCATTTCATTGAAGGAATATTATTACTCTATCATATCCAAAGGTAATGTGTTATGTGGAGAACTTTTCACTTAAGAATTTGTAATATCTGCAGTTACAGGTAACATTACTTACAATGTTATTTCCAAGCTCTGAGCTGAGTGTTCATACTGTGATAGTGATTATTATATCTGTGCTATAGCTGCCTCTGGTAATGTAGTACTGCAGTGAACAATTAAGTGCAGTATTAAAATGTTTAATTTTAGCTATTTAGATAAATTTCCATATTATAAGCTGGTATGTATGAATCTTGATTGATTGCAGTAATTCTAGGTTATTTAATTCTTAGTCTTTCATTTTATAGAAGTCAGTTCTTTGTCAGCTTGAGCCTGCATATTGACACACAGCATATTCATTACCCCTTCCTTTCTATCCACTATTTAGTCAAAATATTTGGAGAAGGAAGATTTTCATGAAGAAAACAAAAGTAACCAAAATGGCAGTTGAGCAATTTCTGTGATATAAAATGAAGTATGCGTGTTCATATTATGTTGTGACCCTGTTTGTGTCATAGGGCCTTTTTTTCTCTACGGTTCTCTTTTTCCTAGCTGTTCTTCTGAAAGTCTGTTTTATTTTGTATTTTTTTAATATAGTTGAAAATGAAGATGAAGCAGAAAGAGTTCTGTTCTCTTATGGATATGGTGCAAATGTTCCTACAACAGCCAAAAGGCGGTTGAAGCAAAGGTAAAGGGGGTGGGGACTCACAACATTGCTTTTTTCCCCTTACAAAGTTTGTGTCAATGAGAGATGTGTGAAAATCTATTCTGCAGACAACTATTAAACAATTGTGCCTTATGGTGGACCTTCTGATAGAGTCAATTGGAAACTTCTTTTTCTTCTGGCACTTCTAACATGGTGCCCTTGCTTGCATGTGTTTGTTGTACAGTATAGTCTCAATCATGGAGACTACTTTGTAAAAGAGGTGACTGGTCTGTGGAGGAATGGAGAACTCAGTTTAGAGTTGATGAACCTGCCATTCTTTCAGATCCTTTTATTCTATAATCCTAAACAAGTTTAACTTGTAATTCTAAGCCAGCATAACCTACCATACTTATGCATGAAAATAACTTGATAGAGTACATTGCTAAAAATAATTTGAATGAGCACATTAATTCCTATTTTAATATTCAAATGCTGTAGCTAATGATATGATTAAATGCACTTTTCAGTTAAGATATTATATGTATTTTATTGTTTTAATAAAACGATATGGATTTCTTTTAATTATATTATCTTCCATTAACTGAAATAACACTCTGCTCCAGTTTAAACAAACATGCAGTGCTTGAATTGTGAGTTATTTTCAGACTCCAGTGAGAATTCCTTTGTATCACAGAATTTAAAAATGGCTCATCTCCAACAGAGTGTTTGTGTGTGCCGAATAAAAGATATTGCACCCAGATGCCCAGAACTAGAAAACACTTGAAGCCAAGTGAAATAAAAGTAAAATAAAATTAAATATGATAAAGTAAAATTTTGGCAAAACTAAAGGGGGGAGAAAAAAGAGGGAGGAAAGGCAAAATATTGTGACTCTTTAAACATTAACATTTATTTCAGTGTGATTAGCATTAGTGGATCAACATCCACTTCTTCAGACAGAGGGAGCCCAATGACTATGTCCTCTGTATTTATACATATCCTCATGGTGGTAGGAATTCTGAAGAGTTGAGAATGCAGACAGATAATGAATGGAGTAACAATGAATCATTAAGATAACTATAAAGATCTTTGTCACATGGTACATTCACCTACATAAAGCTTGGTGTCCTTTTTCCCTTTTGGCATTGCGGACATGATGTTGCAGGATGATATGGGGCCCTTTCCTGACATTTTAAATCATGAACACAGAAACAATATCCTACATTTTTGAACCAGATGTTTTCAGAAGGATTGAATTTGAATCAGACGTTTAGCAACACACAGTGCACTCAAATTTATAATGGAAGATGTAACCTACAGTATCCTATATACAGTGGTGCCTCGCATAGCAATGTTAATTGGTTCCAAAAAAAACATCGCTATGTGAAACCATCGCTATGCGAAACACCATTTCCCATAGGATGCATTGGAAACCGGTTAATCCGTTCCAATTGGAACGGATTGCCGTTGTTAAGCGAAAAAACCCATAGGAAACATCGTTAAACGATACAATGTTTCCTCCATTGGAATGTATTGAAGCTGACTCAATACATTTCAATGGCTTTGCGAAGTCAATTTTTGCAAAATTAAGTGTGTCATAAAAGGGTCAAAAATGGTTTTAAATGCTTGGATTAGCTTCTGCACCCTCTAAAACGGATGCAAAAGTTAATTTGGCTTTGATCTGACTTTTCATTAATTTATGGTGAATTTTTCCCCCCAACTTTTGACAGCTGTCAAAATCTGACAGCTCCATTATTTCCTATGGGGGAAGAAAAAATTCACAAAAAATTAATGAAGACTCAGCAACTGTTCTAAATTCTTGGGTTCATTAGAGGACCCCCTAAGTTGTGTGCAAACCTGATTTGGCTTTGATCTGAACTTTCGTTAATTTTTTGTAAATTGTTTTCTCCCCCATAGGAAAGCATGGAGCTGTCAGATTTTGACAGGTCCATTGGTTCCTATGGGCCAAAAAAAAAATCACAAAAAATTAACGAAAAGTCAGATCAAAGCCAAATCAGGTTTGCACATGACTTAAGGGATCCTCTAACGAACCCAAGCATTTAGGATTGTTTTTGACCCTTCTAAGACACTTTTTTAATTGAAAAAAGAAACATCGTTAAGTGAAGCAGGGGACCTAAAATCACATTCGTTATGCGAAGCATGGTCCCAAACTTCGCTCAGCGAAAATCGCCCATAGGAAACATCGTTATGCGAAGCATATTATTTTCTAAAAAACACATCGTTATGCGAATTCATCGCTAAACGAGGCAATCATTAAGCGAGGCACCACTGTACTTGGAAATAAGTCTCACTGAATTCCATACAGCTTCCTTTTATGTTGGCTCCCACAGGATTGCAGTGCAACTGGCTTTGGCACTTGTAGTCAAATAGCCCCAGAAAGAAATTATTATGGATTCAGAAGTATTCAGAATGTTTCTGGACACTGTGTCTGCAAGTGATAATTCTTGCTGGTATAGTTAGGACAAAGTTTGATTGAGTTCAGTGACACCTATTCCTGTGGTAGGGCTGTAGTCCTGATTCACCCTTCTTCCCAGAAGTAATCCCCATTCGCTTCAAAGTGGCTTACCTCTGAATCCACAGGTGCAGAATTACGGGTTGTTTCCTGGGAATCAATCTTGTTGAACTGAATTTTCAGAAGGTGTTTGACACGATCCTTCACCAAAAGCTGCTGAGAAAACACCACAGTTAGGATAAGAGGGTAGATCCTCTTATGGTCTGAGAATTGGTTGAGAACCAGGAAACAGAGAGTAGGTGTCAATGGGCAGTTTCCACAGTGGAGAGAGGTGAAGATCAGTGTGATCTTGCCTAGATGCCTTTAAAGAGGGATTGGACAGATTTCTGGAGGAAAAGTCCATTGCAGGTTACAAGCCATTATGGGGATGTATAATCTCCAGGGACGTGGTGGCACTGCGGGTTAAACCGCAGAAGCCTGTGGGCTGCAAGGTCAGAAGACCAGCAGTTGTAAGATCAAATCCACGCAACAGAGTGAGCTCCCGTCGCTTATCACAGCTCCTGCCAACCTAGCAGTTCAAAAGTATGTGAAAATGCAAGTAGATAAATAGGTACCACCACGGTGGGAAGGTATTGGTGTTCCATGTCTAGTCGCACTGGCCATGTGACCACGGAAACTGTCTACGGACAAACGCTGGCTCTACGGCTTGGAAACGGGGAGGGGCACAGCCCCCTAGAGTCGGACACGACTGGACGAAATGTCAAGGGGAACCTTTACTTTTACCTATAATCTCCAAGCTTAGAAGGAAGGTACCTCCAAATGCCAGATGCAGGGGAGTGGTATCAGGAGACAGATATCTAGTTGTCTCGTGTGCTCCCAGATGCATCTGGTGGGGCCACTGCGAGATACAGAAAGCTGGACTAGATGGGCCCTTGGCCTGATCCAGCAGGGCTCTTCTTATGTTCTTATGAATGGGGCTCACTTAGAAGTGCATAGACCCTGGTTTGCTCTTACTGAATAACTGAGAAGGGAAGAAAGAAATGAAGGAAGGGAGAAGAGTTGCTACAGCTACAAAATATTTCAGTAGAGCTGTCTTTCTCTTTGCTTCCTTTTCTCTCATGTTCTGCTTCTGTTACTTCACTGTCTCTCTGTTGTGTGTGGACGTGCTGTTCCTTTCTCTCCCTTTGGCTCCTCTCCTTCTCTCTTTTCTTCCTGTGGCTCCCTTCCTTTATCCCTCCCCCTGCACAGGTTCTCTGTCTCCTTTCTCTCCCTCCCCCTTCTCGACCCTACCCGAGTGTCTCCCCCCCCTTTTTTTTTAATGGTTTCTCTCCTTACCCCTCTCTCTGGCTCCTTCCGACCCTTTAGGGCTCCATATTTTGTATATGTGTGTTCAGTGACACTTATTCTACATTAAGGCTGAACCCCAAATCTACTGTTTTGCATTGAAGAAAGCCTCGTTCACCTCAATGAGACTAATTCATTTTCTAAAATACTGGCAGAATATTTGGGCCATTATTATGGAATACTTCAAGAAGCCTGTGCAAACATTCCAGAGTAAAAGCAGCATCTTTTAAGATCCTGTATCTTGTAAATAATAGGACAGATGAACTTCAAATTTTAAAAAGCATTTGGTAGGAATATTTTCTTTTCAGGAAGCAGCGATAGCTCATAAGATAGCTGGGAATCTTTAAGAAAAAAAACAGAACTTTAAAAGTACTTGTCCAAACTTCTCAATTGACACATCCTAGCCCATACTGCATAATTTCACTCTTCAAATTAGAATCCCAGTACAAGAACTCATTTGAAAAAGTACCGTTTTTTGTTTGGAATGCCCCCTCATATCAGCAGTAGCTTACAGAATCTATTTTGACTGGTTACATGGTACCAGATACAGTCCTTTGTACCTCTGATATGTCCCCATTCTCTGGGTGGTATTGAGGAGAAATCCACTCATTGTGTTTTTTTCCTTCACTGCCAAGAAAAGAGGTAGAAATCATGGTATGCAGTCACCTAATTTAACAGAGACTCACTCAACTCCTATCTCTCACATTGTCATTAAGAGTGGTATGCTTGCTTTATCTAGTGCAAAATACGTAACTTTCTGTATGCTAACATTGAACTAACTCTCCAGATTTGTTGTTCTTACATGGCTCAGTTGTCTCTGACTTATGGCAACCCTATGAATGAGAGATCTCCAGAATGTCCTGTTTTCAACAGCCTTGCTCAGCTCTTGTATTCAAGCTCATAATTACATAGTAAAAGTAGCACTGTCAATGCACAGGAGAGAGGTATTGGCTCACCTTGGGAAGTAACAAAAATATTGAAGCAGGAAATACTAAGGTGATACGTACAAACAAAAGAAACCCATCAAGAGCTGGGCATGCTCAGTGGCCATAAAATGCTCACTGAATGTTGCCAATCCCACTTGTATATTATTTGACTAAACTTTTTTGCAAAAAAACCCCAAAAACCCCCAAAACTTCTAAATAACAATTACAGTATTAGTTTATGTAGTGTTGAAGATTTCATCCAGCTTGTTATGTGGCCAAAGTTTAATTATCTGTTTATTGTA